TGTTCCAAAAATTTTCAAATTTCTCAGCACCTACATAGATAAAGGCAGGAGCATCCTTCGTTTCTTCTTCCTGGCCAATCTAACTTGCTTGGTAATCTTCATGAACAAAAGCAACAACCCCGTAATACACAACAAGACTACAGCAAGCCTCAAGTGCCTAAAATACAATGAAACGGACGAGAAAACGAGGAAAGCCAAAATCACGAGTTCCCATATGACAAAAATGGCAACGTCGACCCTGCAAGTCGAAAGCAAAGATCAATAACACAGCAACAGATAAAAATATAATAATAATAATAATAACTTAAGTTCCAAAGGTCATCACCAAAAAAAATAAAAGAAAAGCAATCTAAAACACTGTGTGCAAACACTTAACAGAACAACTCCAAGAAATTAAAATGAAAATGATAAGCCAATCCCACCATCCATTTTCACCTAAAACGAAATCATTTTACAACGGAACGTGTTTAATGTACCGAACTCAGCTTCTATCAGGTGAAAAGATATGGATAAACGACTTATCGAGAATCACTGTACAACTCTAGAGAGCAGTAAAAGAGCTGCTGCCATATCACAGTTGTTCTATAGACCCTAGTCCAAATATTATAGAGATGGCAGAATCCCAGTGCTACAATCAACAACTGATGATATTGAATCCCTGATTTCGCAGAGAAAAAGATTCCGGAGTAGTTTTACCCAACAATGCCACAAGATATACAGTGCCAATCAGATGCTATATAATCAAAACCTACGGAAGACAAATTGTGTATATTGTGTTATAAAAGTTCTCGCTTTTACATTTACAAGCTGACATCAGATATCATATTTTCTGAACATCTGCAAACGCAAATAGAAGAAAAGGATATTAAGTGACCTAATGCCTAGAGACTCAATAGTTGACTGACCAATGGTCACCTAGCATACTTTGTCAAATTGGTTAAATACTTTAATTTCTGTTCCGATTTTGGGAGAAAAACACACAAGGTAAACTGGAAAGACCCAGCGATGTCAATTCTGAAAATTAATACTTTTATGCTTTAAGTCCATTCATCAGGGAGGACACAGCAAACCTTTCTCTTTTTTAGATCATCCATCAGGGCTTTCTCTTGTTCTCCAGCCTCCACATTTTTCCTTCCAATTTTCATCGCATAGCACTAGGAGGGTAAGTGTTTTAGTGGTTCAAGACGAAGGAAAACTCAATTAATAGAAATGAATAGGGGCTGGAGCTGCTACAATCGCTTTGCGGTGGATCAAATCCAATCAAAAAAAAAAAGTTTACACCTACACCACACCACTTCTAGGGCATAGCACTAGGAGGGAAAGTGCTGGTGGGAGTCGAACACAAAATCACTAGCCTGGTTTTGATGACTTAGCTAACCACTTGAACCCAGTCAAACACATCCGTTGCCTTGCCTACACTTGACTTAGTGCATATGATGTTCATAAAAGTCTTCCACGAATCAAAGGCGATACCAATTACCAAAACAATTCTACTCGCACACAACTATGGTAAGACCAATTCTGAACATGTTTAATGATCATTTGTGATATCCAACAAAGACCTCAAAATATCACACTGTCCTTTTCTTTTTCGTTCCTCTTTTCTTCCAGTGTATATACCGTGAGAGTCCAAACCACTCGATCGCTATCCAGTTTCAACCATGCTACACATCTACTATGCCAACTCAACTCTCCACAAATTTCAGCAACCTCAGTATTACCAACAACTGAACTACAATAAAATCCTTTAGTACCCCAAAATTCAGGTAAAATGCGATGATAACCCAAATTCTTGAAGAACAAAGCTTGAATGTTTTCACTTTCAAAGCATAATTTGACATATATGTAAAAACTAACCCCCAGGTTTTCTATGTAGGTATAGCATCCAAAAGGGGCAAAAGAAACCTCAAAATCACCAGAAGCATGAAATTCCTTCCCATTGTGAACGAGATAACAAGAAAAAAAAAACGTGAACAACCCATAATAAAATACAGGAATTCGCTAGACATTTATACCCAGAAACAAAAAGAAAAATAACCTAAAACAAAAAAGAAAAAAAAAATGAAAAATGAAAAAACCTGGAAGATGCGAGATTTGAGGTGGAAGAGAAGAAGGAAAGGGAAGCCCAATCGTGCTTCGATCGAATCTGATATTCTCTCAGCTGCTCCGCCAAATTAGATCGCGTTATCATCCTCTTTCACTCCACGGCACGCGCCGCCGCGTTCGGCCAACTTCTACCTCCTTCTCGTCTCTCGCCCCCTCTCTCTCTCTCTCTCTCTATCCGTGTCTATATGCTCGCAGAATTTCTGATAATTATTCGAGACGAATTCTATTTACCCTTCCATGGATGGAAGAAAATGGTGGGTGGTTGCTGAGAAGTTGACTACCGATTTCGAGCTTCTGATTTGGGCAGAACTTGTGATAAAATAGTGGATTTTGAATGCTGTTTCTAATTTATTTTCATTTGCTTTTTTTTTTTTTTTCTTCAAATTCTAGGTGAAGCAAAAATATAGGAATATATAGGTGGGGAAATTTATTGCAATGCTCAAATTTTTAGAGTGTATCAATTTAAAGACTAAATTCTATTCTCACTAAAAAATAATATTTTAATTTATTCTCAATTTAAGTCTCACATTTTTATTTAACTTATCAATGTAAGACCTGATAAGTCGGGGATCCGAGTCGATATTGAACCGACAAACGAGAGCTTCGATCGTCCCATAACACTTGAGACTTGCAAAAGTGCCCGGAGGAGTTTTCGGCGTTACCACTATGATGCTTAAGTCAGTACATGAAAGAGGATAATTGCTCTGTGATCAAAGAGCTGAATATAATAGATATGGAATGTATAGGAAGGTTTGCAATTGTACCTCACACCCCTTTTATAAGAGAATATATGGCAGGCTTCCATATTCAATATCCTTCTGAATCATGCCCTTTGTCCGAGTTGCCCGCGATCAGCTTGCCTCGCTGCCCGGGATTGGATCTTATCTTCATCCTAATCACATTTGAGTCATCATTAGATTTCTTCTTATTCATTATGGATTGGTTTAGCTGAGTCGTTTGTTATCTCTAATTGTCAAGCTTATCATTCCACAAGTCACTCCTGTCAAGGTGACAGTTTGTAACGCCCCGTTTTTCATACCTTGAATTTCTCGAATAGATTTATCTTTTTCTTAAAAACATTTGAAAGCTCAAGGGCGCTACTACTTTGAAACTTGTATAGGCTCGTAAACTTATACTTATCATAACAAGAGAATGTTGGCCTTTTTCCGGTATTAGGGTAATTCGGGATGTAAGAAGAGAATGTTGTTTTTTTTTCCAGTCTACATACATAGATATTGTTCTGGCCAGATTCAGCATGCAGGATTCCAAGAAAGGTTTGTTACCTTCCAGACATAGAATAGCTCTATCTAAGTAGATGTCTCTTAAAACACCTCAAGAGATAGATAACATGAGACAGTTCCTTATGCCTCGGCAGTAGGAAGTCTCATGTATATTATGTTGTGTACTAGGTCGGATATTAGCTACGTCGTAGGCATGGTAGCTAGATGTCAAAGTAATCTAGGATGGGAACATTGGACTGCAGTGAAACATATACTCAAGTACTTGCAAAGGATTAAAGAGTACATGTTAGTTTACCGTGCAGACAGTTTGTTACTGCTAGGTTACAACGTCGATTTCTAGTCAGACGGGGACGAGAGCAAGTCAACCTCAGGTTATGTGTTTACCTCGGGAGGTGGAGCCATTTCATTGAGGAGTGCTAAGAAGAAATGCATAGCAGACTCCACTATGGAAGTCGGGTACATCGCAGCCTCTGATGCAGCGAAAGAGACAGTTTGGCTCAGGAACTTATCAGTGGACTTAGATTTGATTCCAAGTTTTCCATGAAGTATCACCATGTACTGTGGTAACAGTAGAGCAATAGAAAACTCAAGAGAACCACGAGCCCATGGAGCAAACAAGCACATGGAGCGCAAGTACCACTTGATACGAGATAACGTAAGAAGAGGAGACGTCGAGGTTGCCAAGATGGCATCAAAGGACAACCTAGTTGATCATTTCACAAAGAGTTTGTCGGGGAAGGTCTTCGTCAAACACGTAGAAGGAATGAGAGTCAGATGTATGGGCATAGGATCGACATAAGTCTTTTAGATAATGGATTGATAGGACTGTACTTGTAAAAGCAGAAGCTTTAATTATAAGTGGGAGATTGTTGGTGTTATATACTGAAAGTTTGGTTCTAGATGATATTACACTTTATCTTTGTTGAATGAGAATTATGTTTGATTAAATAAGTTCTATGTTCTGTTGGTTCGCACTTAGATAAAATGGTTCATTAGCGGATGAACATAAGATAATTTTATCAGTCATTTGCAATACAAGAATTGTAATTCACAACCTAGATGGAAATGAACAAACTATCAAAACGGTTGTGGTGTCAACTGTACAGTTGGTCTTGACTGATTAGTTACACTAGTACATTTATGTATTGAATAATTTGGCCATTATACGAGTTCACTCAATGTCCGGATGAGCATTGTGTGTACGAGAAAATCAGTGAGAGTGTGGTGGTATTTCTTGTGCTTTACGTGGATGACATACTTCTTATTATAAACAATAAGGAGGGATTATGAGTGTGTGGTTGTCTAAGCAGTTTGATATGAAGGATTTAGGTGAAGCAGGACACATTCTCAGTATTAGGGTCATTCGAGATCGTAAGAAGAGAATGTTGTGCTTATCACAGTCTTCATACATAGATATTGTCTTAGCTAGATTAAGCATGCAGGATTTCAAGAAAGGTATGCTACCTTTCAGAAAATGAATAAGTCTATCCAAGGAGATGTCTCCTAAGACGTCTCAATAGATAGAAGACATGAAGACAGTTCTTTATGTTTCGGCAGTAGGAAGTCTCAGCTATGCTATGCTGTGCACGAGGCCGAATATTAGCTACGTTGTTGGCATGGTAGCAAGATATCAAAGTGATTCGGGATGGGAACATTGGTCTACGGTGAAGCATATACTCAAGTACTTGAGAAGGACTAAGGAGTACATGTTAGTTTAGCGTGCAGGCAGCTTGTTACCTTTGGGTTACAGTGATTCTGATTTCCTATCAAACAGGGACGAGAGTAAGTCAACCTCAGGTTATGTGTTTACCTTGGGAGGTGGAGCCATTTCATGTTGGAGTGCTAAGAAGAAATGCGTGACAGACTCCAACATGGAAGCCGAGTACATAACAGTCTCAGAGGCAGTTTGGTTCAGAAACTTCTTAGTGGACTTAGAGGTGATTCTGAGGTTGCCACGTGGTATCACCGTGTACTGTGATAACAGTAGAGCATTAGTAAGTTCAAGGGAACCACGAGCCCACAGAGAATGGAAAAACATAGAGCTCAAGTACCATCAGATACGAGATATAGTTGGTAGAAGAGACGTTGATGTTTCAAGATTGCATCAGAGGACAACCTAGCTGATCCTTTCTGGAAGAGTTTGTCGGGGACCGTCTTCGTCAAACACGTGGAAGGAATGAGAGTCAGGTGTATGGTGATAGGATCGACATAGGTATTTTAGAATAATGGATTGATAGGACTATACTTGTAATAGCGAAAACTTTAAGTATGAGTTGGAGATTGTTAGTGTTATATACTGAAAGCTTGACTTTATATGATATCACACTTTTGCCATTTATGAATGAGAAGCATGTTAGACTAAACAAGTTCTACGTTCCGTTGTTTTACAATTAGATAGTGTGGGTCGTCATCTGGCGAACCGAAGATTATTCTATCAGTTACTTGTGAAACAAGAATTATGGTTCACAACCTAGATGGAAATGAACACCCCATCCGAACGGTTGTAGTGTCAACGGTACAATTTGCCTTGACCGATTAATTGCACTAGTACATTTATGTATTGAACAAGATCCCAGAGGGGAGCAGTTCGTTTTATACTGATCGTCGTAAACGAACTAGGCCTCGGTTAATTACAACGTTCTCTTAACCCGTAAGATATTAAACAGACATATATATGCAGTATATATTATTTTGATTCACATGGGTGAGGTTTAGTTAAATGGATTAATAGTCTTACTGTCACCATGTACGTTTAGTTTTATGATGTCTCTAGAGTGAGTTCATGTAGGATTATTATGTTAAACCCTGCAAGTAGATTAAATTCCGACATACTAATAATGTGATGAACGAGCGCTAGCTTCGGTAAAATAATAATAAATTAATTAATTCTTGATTATCAGTAATCGAATTAATTAATGGGCATTATATCTTAAACATGGGGAGGTAATTTGGGTAATTATTATTGGATTATCAAATGTAAATTGTGCTAGGAAACGGGAGTGCCATAATATCATGTTAGTGGCCCATAATATTACTTAATTAATTAGAGCACTTGGCTTGACCCACAGTTAGTCTAATTAATTAAGGAGCCATATTCCCAATCTCCTAAGGGTCACTACTGTAGCTCTATATATACATCATTAGGCTAATGGAAAAGAGAAGAAGAGATCATAATTCTACTACGTGTGTCTCTAGTTTCCGGTTCAAGCTTTATCTTCTTCTTGTTGCTCTACCGATACAAGTAAAATAGGTGTAAGAGTAATACAATAAAAATCCCGAGGTAATTGAGATATATATTCGAGAACCCCGGAGAAGACGATTGCCGACAACCGTGAGCACCAGACTGCCGCCGACGACCCACGGCAGCTGACGACCAGCCGCCGCGATCGCCCCCGTATCGAAGCTGCGATGACTAGCCCCGCTATGCGCCTCCCGGACTGTCGCGATACCGCCGCGACGCGCCACTAGCCGTGGCCACTCCCTAGTGATCCGACCCGCATGACCCGACCGATTCACGTGACCCGATCCCGTCATCATGTTCGTGTGATCCAGTTCCGTTTGTAAGTTCATCCCAGTCAACCCGAATCAGCCAGATTCAGAAAATTTTAAGCGGTATGTTTTCTATGTCAAACCTTTAGATCCGCTGTGTGGTTTACGTTTGCTATTGAATTCGTGATTTGTGCATAACGAGATCCTCACATATCCCAACACCCGCGATGTTACTGCGCCCCAGCACACCGCACGCGCAGCGCAACAAAGTCGCGACCCTGCTACACTCGCGCAATGCCTTTTGCACACCTCCAGCGACCCTGTGATGCACGAGCTGCCTCCGGTCGTACTCAACGTGCTTCTCGAGTCCAACGAGAAGAATCTGGTTGCCCAACATATTTTGAGATCAGTGATTTCCTCCAACAGTAATCTACAATGTCTCAGAGTCTGCAAATTTTAAGCCGTAAGTATTCAACTCTAAACCTCTAAATCCTTTGTGCATAGGCTTATTGTTGCTATTGAATTCGTGACGTGTACATAACAAGATCGTCACCGATCCCAACAGGATCCAGTGTGTTTAAGTTTATTGAACTCGGCTATAATTTTAACCTCCCTGAGTTCTTCAAATGTAGTAGAGATAACTTCAACAAATTGGGGCCACTCTAGGTCTATCTAATTGTTACTGAAGTTCTAAACCATAGGGCAACTTTACCCTCAAAATGCATAGAGGCTAGAGTAATCTTTTGATAATATGGTATGTTAGGAACTAGCTTGAAATAGTTGTTGCACCTTAGAATCCATGCTCTAGGATTTGTATCATCAAATCTTGGGACATCTAGTTTAGGGATGTGAATATTTGCTATTGTTGTTGATTTCCCTCATTTTTGTTACTTTGTCTTCCTAAAAATCCCCTTTGGGAAGTTTCACCTAAGTAAAATGAGGGTTTTCCCAAAATGGACTCATCCTTAGTGGCATCATACTCTTTGTTTATGTTCAGTAATTGTTATTGTAAGGAAGTTAGTGTGTTGGTGAAGTACTCAAATTATCTTACTATTTTACCCAGTTGTACCTTCATTTCTGATCTTGTTTCATTGATATGTTCTTTCATAATTGCTCAAAAGTTTGGCAATTTTTCTTGCAATTTGAGTTCAGTGGTCTCTCTTAATGATTTTTGTTTGTAGGGTACCATTCAGCCTCTTTTGGGATTCCTGTAGTTCTTTTAACCTCGTATCGTCTGCCATTGCCGAAGTAAAGCTTGCTCTTGATACCAATTGTTGTGATCACGTCTCGTTTGTTTCAATTGTGTAAATTTTTTAATGAATTTTACTGTAATTTTCTTAAGGATTAAGTTAAAAGACAGAAGATGGAGAGAGAGAGAGAGAGAGAGAGAGAGAGATGTAGAGAGAGAGAGAGATGTAGAGAGAGAAAGAGAAAGGAATATTTTAGATCTCATTTCCATAGCTTATAACCTCCTCGTGGGTCCTATACAATAACCAACAATAGTGATGGATCTTCTCCTGGATCTGGAGTGAACCGGTTGAGATGAGCACCGATCTATTCGAATCGCCTACGAATCGTCTCAACACATGCAAAAACTCAACGCCAGAAGTATTTTCGGCATAGAGCCTCCGAGGCTCAAGTCAATGTCAAAAAGAAATGGAAGTACTCTTCTCATGGGGAGCAGCAACAAAAATATGGAAAATGAGTAGAGAGTGTAAAAGTTAGTGTTTGGGGTTACCTCAACCCTTTTTATAGAGAGAAATACCTGCTTGAAGTACCTAGAATACCCTTGGTCGATCGGCCCGATTACCTGCTTTACTTGCGTCCTAATCACCTCTTAGTCAGCCCCGAGTCAGCTTAAGATTCCATCTTATCCTATAAAGATTCATTCTTATCAGTTAAGCACGATAGGTATCCAGAGTATATATTGCACCTTGACTTCAGGGTGTGAAAAGTCGACCTCCCATGGCAGAATGTCGACTTGGAGTCATCATGTGGACCAGATATATCAGGAGGCTCTGCTTCTCGACCTTGAATAGTTCTCGTCCTCTCAATTAGATAAGTCGACCTCGAGTTACAATTTAAGAAAGTCAACTTACGGATGTCGACTTCCTCTGATGATGCAACGAGTCGACGAGCAGATGTCGACTTCCTCTGATGGCGTAGTAAGTCGTCTTGCAGAGATCGACTTCTTCTATTAAGTCGGTCTTGAGCTGCAAAGGGTTGTGGCTAACCAGAAGCATATGCTAATGGCCGCTGTTATTGATCTGTCCAACCCTCACTATTACGATCGCTTCTCCGATTCGACTCAGCTTAAGTGAATCGCCTTTATATCCGGTCGGGCTGTAATATCCGGTATGCCCAAGTATGGCTATATCAAATAGTTCTTTTAATTGAAAATAAAAAGATAAATAAACTCCTCATCATAAAAATACTACTAAGGGACAAAAATGCCACGAGATTAGTTGGCCACATGTATGGCCTTGATCGCCTTTTCTTCAACGCCCCAGATTCGCCCACTTGTTCTCCACACAACCTGGCTTGGACAAACTCTGCAATTTTTCGACCATAACCTATTTTTTTCCAAATTCCATGGAAAGACCTAATTCTTCATCTTCCATCGCCTCAACCTGCTCAAACTCCATTTCACCATCTTCTTTCTCAATATTCACAACAGGAGA